TCAATCAAGATAATCGGTGAAAATTACCTTCTCTAGGCATTATAAGCACATTCATACATAATACTTAAGCATATACTTCACATTTCCTTACAGAAATTTTTTGTTATTCTTTGTGATTTTGTCTTGTTTTAGAATATTTCATTATTTCTTTCTTTAAAATTTTCTTTCTTTCTTTTCTTTATGCCCAAGCATTATAACGTATTATTATCATACGATATATAATAAATATATAAAGGACTAAAATCACCTTCGTAAAAAAAAAAATTAAATAAAATAAAAATATTTAAATGAATCCTGAATGAATTGTTATAAATAAAATGATACATAACAAAGAATAAAGAATTTTATTAATTTTTATAATGTGAAAATTTTTGTTAGAACGAGCCAAACGAGCCAAATGAGCCAAATGAGCTAAATGAGCCAAATGACTTGAATGACTACGGTCAACTACAGTCAACTAGAGTCAACTACAGTCATAATGAACTTTTAATTAAATTTTTCATGCTCCCCAACATTTGGGTTAATAGTTAATAACACAAATTGTATTAATATGTTAAAGTGAAGAAATTTTTATTAATATGTATTAATACATGTAATACGTGCCAAAGAATTTTAAACCAATGTTTAGTCGATAGCGAACCTACGATATGTTATTAACTTTTACCAAAAGAAATTTAATGAATTTGTTATATTCTTCTTTGACCAGTTAAAATTTTGTTAAGAATTTATTCATTTTATCAATTTACATAATTTTATTAATATTTTTATAATAATGTTATTTATTTTTTTAAGTGAAAAATACAAATTTTGTTAACTGTTAACTGTTAAAAATAATAAAAAAAATTAATAAAATAATAAAACAAATAATAAAAAAAATTTTTTTTTTTTTATTATAACTGTTATAACTGTTATAACTTGTAAATAAAATTTTTTAAAATTTAATAAAATTTATTGAACATTATTTTTTTATTTAATTTGTTTTATTTATTTAATTTGTATTTCTTTCCATTTTCAAAAACATTTTGGTAAAATTTGATTCGAAATTTCAGCCAAAATTTTGAAAAATCTTTTTTCAACTTTTATAATTATTAATAGTATTTTGTATTTTTTTTTTTTTTTTTTTT